ACTCACCCCCCTTACCTGATCTTACCACTTCGATTCTCCTTTCAACCCGGTTCTCAACGAAAGTTTGGAATCCTTTGAATTTCTCAGAAGTATCAGCTTTTGATTTTGAAATATATACGAATGACATTCGACTGCAGTCATCTTGAAACTCTGATTAGTACTCTGAACCTCCTATGGAAATTATCTCCATTGGTCCTGCTAGATCTGTGTGTACTACGTCAACTCTTAGTAGCTCTTGTACTCGACTGTATAAAAGGTTGACGTATTTGCTTCCCATCACAGCAGACTCCGTAATTTTGTAGTTTGATTTCCACCTGACCATCATAGTTGATGACATCCACAAGACCATCTCGCATTTTGTTCGAATAACTGAAGTTTATATGACCTAGCCTCCTATCCCATGTTCCGCCAGTAGCAACAGCCTGTCCAACCAATAAGCACCTTTTGGAAGTATCATTCTTATACACACCTTCACTTAAGAAGGCTCTAGCTACTAAAACGTTATCAGTATTGGAGATTTCACAGCTCTCACTGTCAAACTCTACCGAATTACCCTTTTTCAAAAGCTCACTTACTGACAACAAATTTGTAGCGAGTTCAGGAACATATTGAGCATTTATGACCTCTCCTGAATGATTTTCTTCACCAACTTTCGTGAGAATGTCAACTTCACCACTCAATCGCATAGCGATTTTACTATTATTTGCAACCATGATGTCCTTTACAGTGGGTTCTCTTTGGTTCAATAGCCAATCATGCTTGCAAGTTGAGTGTACACTCGCACCTGAGTCTAAATACCAATCATTGTTATCGAAATTCGCACTGAGGAAAACAACACAAGAAATGTTGACTCTACGGTTTCCCTACTAATTCCTAGAAGTACATTAATAAAAAAGTCGTTCATTTATAATGCCAAGAAAATTTTCAATCACCTGCCTTCACATTTTCGTTCATTGCTAACACATATTGAGTTTAGAAAGACAGTAAAAGAGCTACTACTGAATAAAGCCTATTATACCTTGCAAGAATTTTATGAAGACGCATTTAATTAAGTTTGTTAGTTTGTATAATTCGTTTTTGATTGTTCAATATCTTTTTTTATAGTGTGACTTTTACTAGTATACGTTCGAAGTGTTTTGTTCCTCATATATGTGCATATTTTACATGATTTTATGTAGTTTCAATATTAGTTATAGCTTATGATACACATGCTTTGTCAACAAAAACTTTAGGTTTTTAGTACAATAAAGACATTCTTCTCCTTCTTCTTCTTCTTCAACATTGAGAGCACTCTTCGTTTGCTAATCAATACCTTTGTTTTGATTGGGTTGGGGACATTTGGACATGATATGGCCTGGCTGTTTGGAACAAATTATGTCATCTTTGTTCTTACTGCGGTTGTCATTTTTATTTCTATTCTGACTTTGATTTTGACGTTTCTGGTTGCCAATTTTTCCACCGAAAGCACCACCTGTCGAACTAGTGCCGCAATATAGTTGCATGTCTAGCAACTTTGGCCTAATGAAGTCGGTGGTAATGTCGATTCCGCTATGCTAAAGCGCCATTACCATCGGGACAAAACGATTTGGTAATCCCGCCGAAAGTAAGCTTCCAACCAATGACGTATCAGGTTTGAGTCCTGTCCGACCAAGTTTTTGGAAAGTCTCGATTACTTGGTTGACATATTGTGCCATCGACGAGCAGCTCTTTAACCTTAATGAAATCAGGTTACGGAGAAGAGATATTTTCCTATATCCACTATCAGTTTCAGTTCCGCCTATGCAACCACTCAAGCCTTCTAATATGAGGAAATTTTCCATGGCGAACGACCATTCCTCATAATTATCGGCCTTGCAACATAGGAACACTGTCGAGATAGTTGTTGGACGCTATCTTGGCACTGTCCACACACGACGCGAATCACGAAAACACACTTGCGATTTACGGAGTATGGATACTCGTATCAACAATATTTTCACCGACAATCGTTCTGGGCCCATAACCTGTTGATTTTTGGGGAGAAACCAGGAAGAATGAGACACAATAGCTCTCCTGTTAAACTCAGTATGAAGACTGCCTTCAGTTCTCTAGAAAGAGATACACATACTTGGAAGATTGATCTGAGGAATACCAATAGATGGCGCTGCATGTTGTAGCAAAACACCCCAATTTGAAATTGTGTCACAGAACCTATTGAATTGTCATTATTTATTCTTGTTAGTATTGGTTTGGCAGGCCTGAGTTTCTAGACTTATTCTCACCTGGTGCTTAGGCAACCCGTTAATACCCGCAGTGAATTGAGGGTCGTATACCTTTCAGGCTGTCTGATATCTAGTTGTCTATTGGCCTTGACCGCGGGAAATTGAGTAGGAAGAGGTAAATACAAAAACTAAGAACTAGAGATAAAAACTATTTTTTTTTTATAAATATTTGAACTGGGTTTCTCTTCGGCGAAAACTTCTGAACAAGCAAGGCAAGATAAGGCCACATCAAAAATGGGTGTCTCTTTCTCTGTTCTTTTTGGGTCCAGCCAGATCATTACCATGTTCCTATTTGGCAGATATTCTCCAATCTCCATACAGTAGAGATACTTATTTTTAATGCAGCAGCTACTCTATGTGATTCAGACAAATCATATTTGGATCATTCTGAAAACACAAAATATCATTAATGATACCATCATTCAACTTACATCTCTCACAGCAGTCAGTGGAAGTAATGGGTCATCATTATCACGTTCATTTTCGGAATATTGTATCAATGATACCACCATCTTCTGCGCCTTCCCACTCAATGGTTTAGGCATTTTGAATTGATCAAATTTCAGCAATGATTCACGAACAAATCACAAACAAACTCAAAATCGTCAGTAATGAATAATTCGCAGAGATCAGCTGATCACAACAAATCGCTTCTAGAAATGTCAAATGAATCTGGCATCGGTGTACAGTTTTTCCAACTCAAATCGATAACGCGGTTTGCCCATTTCGAAAGGTACCAGTATTTTTCGATGTTCAGTTTCGGCATGACATTGTTACCAAGTATTGCGCAACTATCAACCTAGCGTGAAAGCCCTTTGACCTGAGAAATTCGCAATGATCAGGAATATTTCAAATCTGGGGCAAGAACCCAGCAATTTCTTTCAGAGGACTCAAGAGAGTATTTTTCTTTTTGACAGCCTAAAGGAATCTTCAGCATCTCGCAGGAGTATATCGCATTTTGTTACCTGGGATAGAGAATCAGCCTATCAGCCCAAAAGCTACGTTGCATTCTGTAGACCACATCGTTATTTTTTGTTGCTTCTTTGAGAGATCCCTGTCATATAGAAGGATATCTCTTTCTTCCTGCGTTGGTTGAACAACCAAACTCCCTTTGAATTTACTTCGATATGGAGAACATGATTCCAACACTGAACTGTTCATTGTACCAGTATATCACCTGACGAAGCTACTGTGTTAGCGAAACATGTTGTGTGTTTGAGAATTTTGTGGAAATCTCATCGTTTGTAAATTTCTCACATTTGCCACACATGTGTATTTAGATCTATGCTTACCCTGATGAATTTGGAATGGTATACCAAGTTTCACATTTTTTGTTATTGGAATACTGCAAAAATTTAAAGAAATCTCAACAATTTTTGTACTCTCGACACACTGTATCTCAGTGAGGATGCATTTCAGGACATATGTTGATAGACGTTTTTCACCTCAAAATGAGGTGAGGAATTCGTGTACGAAGTTTGTCGGTCTTATTCTGATTCACCCTGTACAGGGTGGCTTGAATTCGAGGCTCATCATTGGGATCTCGTAAACCGTGAGAGATACAGGGTCGGTTGAATAATGGCAAAGTTGCGCAATTTTAGGCTGATCAAAATGCCGCCTCAACAGTTTAGAAATTACGGATATTTCCGAAGATATTCGGAAAAAAACCGAATATCAGCGACTTCGTTTTAATTTTTTTCTGACTCTATTTAGAGTGATATGTCAAATTGAATATCATAGTCACTTTTTCTGGTCTATCCAATGGCATATCAATAGATTCATGATCCGACGTTTCGTCGTCGTGGAGCCATCATCAACATTGTTTCTTTAAATGGTCGAAATGAATTTTTCGTTCCCAAAATCCTCTAATTCCAAGTCGGAATCAAAAGACATTCACGATTTTGCCATTATCCTGAGTTCCGGACCGAAAAATCATTATCGATGTTATTTGATGATTATTACGAGGAAACGAAACGTCGGAACTAAAATCTGATGACGGCGTCTTGTAGAGAAGGAAAAATGTCTGCGAAATTGTCAAATTCATTTTGGTCTCTCGCTTTATCCCTATTTCAGTTTTCAATAAAATTTATTCTCCAAGTTCCTAATTCTGAGAAATTATCTCTCTCTAATTTTATATTAGAGATAGACCAAACTGCATATAACATTTTCATAGCCATTTTTCCTTTTCTACATGTTGCCTCCATCAGATTTTTGATCCGGAGTTTCGTTTCCTTCGTAATCATCATCAAATAACACTGATAATGATTATTTGGTCCGAAACGTGCGACAATTGGAAAATGTCATATGTCGTAGAATTCAGAATTGGAATTATAGTTTTTTATGAACAAAGAATGCATTATCGACCATTTAAAAAAAAAGTTGATGATGGCTCCTCGAAGACGAAACGTCGGAACACGAATCTATTGATGCCATTGGATAGAGCAGAAAAAGTGTCAATGCTAATATGGAACTCAATTCGACATATCACTTTCAATGAAGTCACAAAAAAATGAAAATGAAATCGCGGATATTCGGTTTTATTCCAAATTTCTTCGGAAACATTCGGAATTTCGGCATTTTGATCAGCATGAAATTGCGCAACTTTGCCATATTTTAACCGACCCTGTATCTCTTACGGTTTACGAGATCCCAATGATGAGCCTCGAATTCCAGACACCCTGTACATATCAAGAACAAGTATATTATGTCGTACTTATAAAAAGTAACATGAAGTTGCGCTTCCGGTAGTGCAAATCTAGAAATACGCACGAGTCCACACTGTTTATATATTATTTTTAGCCACAGTGAAGTGCAGTTGATTGATAAAGTGAGAATAATCATCATCGTTCATGTGAATCAAGTTTCTCCATAAAATAATGTTGAATAATTGATTGTGTTATCATAACATTCAACAATGCACTACTAGTCAGTAGCAGATGATTGTCGATTTAATCGACTGATTTTGTTACTCAGTTCATGGTTCGAATGAGGAATGATTTCTTCTAGTAACTGGATTATTATCACATTCCATTGTCTGTGGTTGACCACGAGAAATGTTCAGTTCTAGGTTAGAGGTTTGTGACTTCAGAAGATAATCGTATCCACGATGAATTTTCAGAGGTGTGTGCTGCCTATTTCTGTGCTCCTTTTGTGTTTCCCTCATGCTTCGCATTCAGCAACAAAAAAAGGTAACCTTTTTTCGACATACATTCACATTTATTATAGTCTCTGATCTGTTTTCATACAGAATGTTTTTCAAGTATCGGTCCGGAAATGCATAGTTTTCATGGAACTGTGGTCTCGAAATCTTTTCAAGAATCGGTTTTTCGTTGATTCGATTACGGCGAAATCAGCACCTCATCAATACAAATGACACTGCCAAATATCAACGGAATTGAGTGGCGGATTTTCAAAATAATAAAAAAACACGTTTCTTCAAGAAAGATGCAGGGAAATCTCCGCATTTCCGGACCTATGTTTATATCAACTTTTCGTCTCACAATCACCATAATAATCATCCTTGGAAGTTAGGCCACATGCTCAAATAACACTATGTATAGTGCATAACAAAATGGTACAATGGTATATTTTGGAAATTCTGAAGTGATATTCTTCAGAAGTTTTTGGAAAAAAGTGAACATTTTAGATTTTTTTTTTCAAATGTCAATCAAGCGACTCGAACCAAATGTTGCATACATAGGATCTCTCAATTAACACATGTATGGTATCATGAAAATCTGCAATCGGTCAGTTACGTAGATGTGACTAACCCATATCTTCGATTTCAAACAAAAGGGTGGACCCACTAAATTGAACATATTTCAATATCTGATTTTGAGGTATTCTGCGATTAATTGTTGATTTTCTATGTTAGCTTCGTAATCACTTCTTCCTGTCTTCCAAATAACTGTAACATGAAAATTTGCCTTTTCGTGTTCCATATTGTGAATTCTGAAAATAGGTAATGGGGAAGCTTTGTAGAGATGCACTGCGTAACTCAATGATTTCTTTTCTAGGTTTTGAGGTACTTTACATTATTCCATCTTGTTAAATGTTTTCATTTTCAATGTCCATGACTGGATGACAGTTAGGTTATTTTAGTCCACTTCTTAACAATTCTTACACATTTGTCAGATGCCCATGAATATTGTTGTTTCCATCATAGTCTCTTGCCAGTAGAAGACTGTTTGTCGCGGTTAGTGGCAATGGCCTGTAATGGTGCAGGGATATTCGCAATTTTGTATCGACTGGTGAATCGACTAATGTATCGACTATCGTATCGACTATCGAGGTCATGATCGATATTTAATATTTCTTTCAAGTTGCATCCCTGAATTTGACTTGAATCATATTATTTGGGTGGCTAGATTGACACTGCGCAGAGACGGAGTTTGGTTTGTATTATTTTTTTGAATAGATCACAAGTGCTCTGATTGACGGAAACTTGTTATTTGAGCAATTTCCGTTTATTCATCCTTCTTGCTGATTCCTTCTCTTGTGAAAAGGTTTCATGTGCTGAAGCCAAAATGAAGCTCTTTTTGATTTTGGCTCTCGTGCAATCAAGTCAGGTGGTGGACACCTACTTTTGTGTTAGGCCTTTCTGATAGGAAGGTAAGAAATATTAAATCTCCTTTTGTGTGAATGATATTCGATAGGGTATCTACATTTCAGATATCACGGCCTTATACAGGGGAGCAGGGGGTACAGACTAAGTGGATGATTTGAACTCCATTTTCTGTTGACCACATGGCATGTTTCTGGACTTGAATTTTATCAATCAACACTGTTAACTGGATGGATCACTAAAAATCGAATCATTCATCAACTATGGGCATTTAGAAATCTTGAACTGTTTTCTGGACTTCACTGTTTGGACATCACGTGACACTTTTTTCGATGGTTGAGGCACCTGAGGGATCTTCGTGCTTTGAAGCCTGAGTCACCAACACACTTGAAGGTGGAAGCAAGACCCTGGTGATTTCTTGTGTATGTCTCTGGGCATCTATAGGACCCGACAGCCTGGAATTTCTGGCAGAATCCTTGCTGCCAAAAGTCCCTAGTAGCCTTCTGGTTCAGATAGCCAGTGATCCTGACTTCTGACAGGAAGTCCAGGGGAGTCCAGACTCCCGGTATGTTTGATGATCCTGCATCCCTAGGATTTTGCTACTCTGGAGCCTGAACTCCCAGAGCCCAGTCAGATAGTGAGACGTCCTGATCCAGCTTGGATGGTAGGAAGAGCTTGCCCTGGTGGCAGCCTGTGGACCCGTCAGCCAGAGTTGCAGTGCAGAATCCAGTTGCCCTGGGATACACCGAGTGCCCAGGTCTCCAGGTGGTTGTGACTCCTGTCAACTGTGTGGGGATCCAGTTTTCCTAGCACACCTAACCCCTAACGCCGACTGAGGGAGGAGTGTCTTTGTTCATCCAGGTAGTGAGATCTAGTGGACCACAGTTGGAATCTCATGGTTCAAAAATCCAGAACTTGCAGCTAAGGTCAGAATTTTCCATATATATTTTTTCCCTGTCTGAAGGACATTTAACATATATATTTTTTCCCTGTCCTGAGGACATTTAATCTACATATTTTTTTTCCCTGTCTGAGGACATTTAATATACATATTTTTCACTGTCTAATGTCATGAGATATTTAAACACTTGTCAATAACACATAATAGTCTAAGATCGGATTTTACATTTAATAGAATTATTGGGTCTGTTAGAGACTCTGTGAACCCAAAGTATAGGCCTATATGAAGGGAAATCTACCGTTGTACTGAGTTACAATCATAGTACATATTCACCACCATTTGAATACCTATTGTTGACATGTTAAGGTGAATGAATCTGTTAACAGTTATTTTGGCTTATATTTATATCTTGGATTTTTTTCTCAGTAATTCAGCTGTGAAAACTGAGTGGCGCCTGACAAAAGGATAACCCCACTAGTTACCTAAAAAAAGAACTAACTCACGACCTGCTCCCAAACAAACGAGCTGCCGTGCCTATAACAAGTAAAAATCTTTTTCTTTTCCAAAACATCAAAAGAGTTGTTATATAACCTATTGATTGGGAATAAGCTATAAAACCTAGTTGAAAATCGAAGTTGACCGTTTTTTGAGGACAATCTATAGTTGTGGAAAGTGATTGTATCTTCAATAACTTGCTTTTTCATATGATATCTCAGTAAAAGATAACGGATTCGATATTATAGATAACAACGATTCAAGAGTAAGTAGATGGTTTATCATCATCTCGGATAAAAATTAACAAGGAACAGAATAATCGTAATCAGTACACCAAGGAAGTAAAGAATATAATCCTCATTATGAGGTGCCGTGGTTATAATATTATTTACTACCAAGGTGTATATACATTCTTCTTCAACACTAGCGATATATTCCAATCATTATGGTTTTGTAAAACTGGAATATGGACCTATGTCACTATGAATGCAATTCGGATTAAATATAACAAAGTTGGCCATATATCTTTGTTGACTAGGTTCATGAAATGACAAAAGCTACCTAGGAAGTGAATAAACACTTTACGCCTTCAAAAGGAGTGAATGATGGTAGGTTTCATGGATAGTGGTGAGGAAAAAAAATAAAAGTACCTGACTCAATCAATCTCGTGCGTGGTATAAGGATTTTCAAGATCATTTGGAACTACTGTCTCTTGAAAACGACTGCTCGAAAAATATTGATAGTTTTCTGATTCCGTGAGGATGCTTGAAAAAAATGAGCCCTTGTGATTTCAACAATTCGATCAATGAAACGATTATATTTTCAGAAGAACTATGATATTCCACTTCCTCCTAAATGGTATTAGGACTATTTACATTTGGATTTCTCCAGAACCTGGGGAGTTCTTCAGCGAACAAGCTGAATGTCTTCTTGATGTGGTTGAGAAATCACTTGATCTGAGTGTAGGGTACACAAATAATTCATTTCGATATTTCAATTGCATTTCGATTGATACTCTCACCCAAACAGCATCGAATTCGTTACAGTTAAATACCTCATCATAAATGTGAATGGATAGTACAATAACTAGACATTTCATTGACCGGCTATACATGATACATTTTTTCGCATGGTGCAATGATGATAGGAAATTCTTCGATATATTAGTATTTCATAGAATAATAGAGGTAATCCAAACCTATCGAGTTGAGCATTGATTGCTCACTCGACTTTCAACAGTTATTGACGCTATACTGATGCGATTTCAGTAACGATGTCGATACGATCTAGTGATATTTCAACATCCAATCATCTTGTGGAATTCAAATCAATAGATATATTAATTCCACAAAACGACTGTTTTCTTCCATACCTGCAGATTCTGCTATTATGTTTCTTTCAATTGTCATTTAACACATCATCCAGGCATTGTCGAAACAATATTTCAAGACAATCAGATATTTTCTGGTTTGACGAAACAGCAAGTATGTGTGGGTATGTAAAAACACGAAGGAAGAAGACATATTCTCATTGGTAATCATCAAATCATCATTATTATCAGAAATCGAGTGATCAATATACAAATAATTGACAATTAATCACCTACCTATACAGATTAGGGCGTTCATCGAATGAAATGGCTTGTCAAATCGTCACTGCTGATGCACGAATATGTTGTGCATGTTATACAAACGTGGACATATGCGTTGAAGGTGATATTATGTAGTTATGGTATGAGGTATGATTGATATCAAGGTTTTCAGCATTCAGCTTTCAGACAAGCAGAGATTTCCGTGGACCAATATAAATTGGAATTCATGTCACCTAAAGTCGCGGTTTACTCGCATGAGGAAATATACTGTTTATGTTGAGCAAATTCATATCAAGAAATTTAAGAAAACGAAGCAAGCAAGCCAATTGATTTGAGACAACTGTTCATTGCTTCATTCTGATGAAGAACTTTTGTACGAAGCAATTTGATTTCAATAAAATAGATTTGTTTGATCTTCATCTGTAATTCGTGAATCGAATGAATAGATCATAGACAAATCAGAACGGTCAAACATGCATTGTCGATTAAAATGTCCTCTCGTCTTTTGGAAACTCAGATGTTGATACGCTCATGAATGAATATTCTGTAATAATACGGCTGACTGATGCACTCGCACAATCATTTCCACAGTTAATGAAAATCAGATTCAGCATTGTTAATTATTTTTGTATCGAATAAAATATCAGTTGCTTATGTATAAGTTTTGTGAATTATTCTCATAAGTCCACATCTTCAACTATATTTTATTCAGTAATCTTGCAATTCAAACTCATTTCTGAACTCTGGAAGTTGTTTTCATATTTGAATGGTTATAGGTGAAGTTGAGTATTCTTCTTGCCCTCGATTATGCGTCTCGAAATTTCTGTCGTCAATGACGATAAAACTGATTCCAGGGTGTTCCTTGAATATTTTCCGGAATCCAAATGAGAAACTATTACCTTTATTCGCATACAACAACTCGAGAGATTTTAGTTTCATTGTACCGGAGCATGGACACATCAATTTGAACCACGGTGATGGAATAACTCTTTCCTGCCCAGGTCGGAAAAATTCACTGCCAGCAAGTAAGTACCTAGAACCTACCTGAATCCCAAAAAGTTCTGAATCACGGTAACGTCACTTGAGACTCAAACCCTTTTATTCACAACCATATTTGTAATAATGTCATTACTGACGTCATTGAAGGTTGGGAAGTGTCACATTACACACCTTTACTTCCCGTCCTCACTTCCTGCTCTCACTACTCCCCGCCCTCACTTCCCGACCTCACTTATGTAATATTTCAGGTCTGTTCAGAACAAAACAGAGATTTATTAATTTTGATCGAAATGTGATAGTTTTTAATAAAAGAGTGTACGAACCTTGGTAGGAAGTTTCATTACTGTCTCGAAATCATGGCTAACCTCGACGCTTAGCGTCTCGGTGAACTAACTAATCTCAGGACAGGAATGAATCTCTTTTCACCTCCTATGTTCATGCATGTTCTCAGACTGCATTAATATCCTATATACAAAATATGAGACACGGTTTAACAATGCTTGTCACTATCGCGCCATATGACGTCATTTTGTTAGAACGTTTTTGTTACTGTAGGTAAGTATCACTTAACTATCATAAAAAACAAATGAAAAAATCAATTTCACGCAAGTCAGAGCTGAACTCGCGTATACCTTGTGATCTGCATGAAAAAGTTTGTTGACGTATGATGAGCAGTGCATAATTTCATACATACCTTATCATGTTATTGGAACTGAAATACACATAATTCATAATAATATACAGTGGACAAACCTATGAGGGAAAGGCATCCATATCCCAATACCAAAAATGTATTCATCGAAATCCTTGGACAGGTCAATTAACTATTTTGAGAATCTATTAATTCAAATGAAAATGTTTATCCGCCTCTCAACCTCCTATTCCATACAGATCAAATCCTTTAGAATTCTTGAATTGTACAAAGGGTCAAGTTACACCTTATTCAACAGGTATTTCGGATCTTCATACAACAGTCTACTCATTTTATTTGGTCAAGACAATCATTTCCGCAAGAATGCAGTAAAAATATTTAGGAGTTACTGGAATTTTTGTCTGAATTATTGCTATAATATATTGCTATAATGGTAGTAATAGCTACTGCTCAATTGTATCACTCGTATAGTTAATTTACCTACATTTGGATGAGTTTTTCATACTTCATGTCCGTCTACGCGTCTACGCATATGTACACTTAATTGGTAGGTACTGTTTGACCTTTCCGTGACAGGGAGGGGTATGCCGTATACCCCAACTTTACATTATTCCTTGTAACTCTGTAAAAAAAAGATTCGTGCTTTTCCTCATAACTTATACTCAATCGATGCATTACCGACATTATAATGATTAGATATTGTAGGTCTCATGAATATTTTGTACGTTATAGTCGTTATATAGAGATTCGTGCGTTGGGGGCTATGCGACATACCCCCCTCCGGCTCAAATGTTTCAACTTGCTCACCACGCTTATCGACTCCGCGCATACGTCACACAAAACAAATCGGTGCATTTGAGCACAGTAGAGAGCTTACTTGAGGTACCCACTTGACTGACAGATTGATTTTAGGGACCGGAAGACACGTACTGATGCGAGTAATATTAATATCCTAAGTTTCTGTGGGTTTGTGAGTGATTAGCCATGGCTAAACAAAAATATTTGACTGGCGACGATCGTGCAAGTATGATGCAAATGTATGGAATAAATTCATTTCAAAACAAGACGACTTTCGAAAAAAAAAAAAAAACTAGAGTTCAGAACTTTTTTCTACGTATTTTTTTAACTAGACGACCCTTCGATGTTCAATTCTCAGTAGCAGACCTCTGCAAGATTCAGTTGATCACATGATAATCCATTTTAATTTCAATCTTCTTATGCAACATTTCGACTGTTGAATAGACGATCAGTAGACCTTTCAATCAAGGTGTCACATGACCCCTATTTGTATTTGAAAAAATCGTCCATTACGTCTTTACTCCAACACCGGTGACGTAACATCTCTCATATGAATATCATGGGATGGGGTTTCAGAAATTAAAACTCAAGTGTTTTTGGAATTTTTTCAAATGTCGCCCATTTCTGAAATAATGAATTTATTCCATACATTTGCATCATACTGTACTATGTTATGTTTGATTTTCAGGATGAAATAGTGTACAAAAGTAAATCTTAATTCATTTGAATTCATTCAATTCTTGCTCATAAATACGTTTTTCTAGTCGGGTAGCACTCCTATCCCGCGCCGGCGACTACGGAATGTCTATGGTCTGGAAAGGTTAATATTGCATAATGGCGTAGACGGACATAAGTAAAAAACTTTTTTAGTATAAATGTAATTTTACTGTACAATGAAACATTACCTCATACTACGAAAAATGTAGTACAAGACTTTCGAAGAATGTTATATGACCCAACCGAATTCGGAAATTATGATAGAGCATTGAATAGAGAGTTGAAATAGCTTTCTGACAAGGTGTAACTTGACCTCTTGTAGCAGAAATGCTGCCTGCGATGAAATCTACGAGTATATACCTACGTTTCAACACAGATCAAATCATGAATTTAGACGATGATAAACTCGCTTGTTGGTCGTTAATGTTCTTTGCGCATCCCCATGTTGTATTGTCGTTCCATTTTTATAAGTGGTACAAATATAATATGGTGACACTATTACAAAAGATTCAGGAGATTCACAGTTCTTTCAATAGATAATTAACTATGATTTTCTGAGATACATTATTCTATTGACAGACGATCAATGTGGAATCATCGAACAATGATAATTCAATACAATTATTGATATTTTGTTATGGGGTATATGATACGTAATGATATTTCATCATTGTTCAAGAGGAGTACTTGTTGATTTCAAAATCACTGACATATTATTTGAGACATTAAACCCGTCGCAATCTGAGGCATGTTTTCGAAAAAACTCATTTGCATTTCTGGCTGAGTCACGACCAATATTCTCATTCTTCATTGAATATTCGCAATTTTGATTTCAAAACATCAATTATTTGTGTTGAGTATTGACGTTTACTGCCTTGCAGGTGTTCGTGTTACTAACGAGCTATGAACACAAGAAATCACTATCAATTCTTGTGTCGGTGTGATAGAATTGATGATGAATTTCAAAATGTACAAAGCATTGAATCATTCAATAGAGATATACGTATACTCATGTGATTATTACACCACTCCTGTCAGTCTAATTCTGTGATTTGATTTCAAAAAGTTGCGAATTTAGTGGTTGTTCAGTTATATACGTAACCGCGAAGTCGAATGAAGGATAAAAGGACATGCAGTTCTTTCTCGGAGACGGTATATATTGACTCATTTTTCGGAACTTTAGCACAACAAAAGCCATCAACAGTGTATTCATATGTGATATATATCCGGGAAAAAAGTACTCACTTTTTATCCACGGAAAAGAATTGATTTATGAGAAGTGACATTTTAGAACCTGCCAACAGAGATGAAATGCCAAACTTTTTTCCCGTCACAGAGAAAATATGATTTTCTCGCCGTATGTAACAACCGTTCAACCAATTTTCGGCATTTTTTCAAAAACAAACTAGTCTTGTGAGTATTGTGTGAATATCTCAGAATCGTCAAATATTTCAAACAATCTTATGCCAAAGTTGTGTTATTGCGAAAACACCAGCTGTCCTTCAATCCTGATTGTTCTATCACCAACGATGCCTTCATAATGTAAACATCCCAAGTAACATTTTAAATGCCTAATAGCTTCGATGAGACTTGTTTGATCTCTTTCATAACTATCTATTGTTTTCACTTCATTTTGACATGTTTGTATTATGATTAGTTTTGAAAAGAGACTACCTATTATATAACAAGTTACGGACTATATTATCTGAACAAATGCTTACTGCAACTGATAAGGTTTTAATTCTAGTCAATAAGTTTTAATATTGGCATAAGAACTGTCGTTTCAAAGCATAAAGGTTTGAACACGTGCTAAAAGACTTCAAAGGAAGTAGTTTTGATAGGTTTTATTATTGCTTTGAGCCATACTACAATAAATTCCTATTAGTTTCATGACAAGCTTTAAGAGAAGCTGTGGCCGATTTCATGAAGGTGGCCCTTTATGTTTTGAGAAGGTTGTTCAATTGTTTTGATGATATTATTGAAGTATAACAGTTTTGAAGAGGCATTCTGAAATATGCTGTAACAACCTCCTGTAGCTAACAATGAAACTGATGATGTTATTTTAGATGGATAGTGGAGCAAAGTGTGTCAGTTCGACATATAATGATGCTTTTCATGCTTCGTAGAATGGTCAAGCAAAACACCAATGTGTTCTGAATAATCTTCTCTTAATTGTGTCTCTCATTGTGACAAAAATATTCAGGACATCGTGATATCATTGTTGATAATTGATAATTCCTGACGTCATGTGCGTAGTAGAACGATTTCAATGCGCCAAACTGTTATACCGTGGATAAAGTGTAATGCATAGTATGATTTCCAAACGGCTAATTCATGGAAGTGAACTCATAAAACATTCCAGGTGATAACTGTATTACGACTCGACCAATAGTAATAATATTAATAATAATAATAATAAATCGTCTTTATTCATCTTGCAACAATATCAGTACATTAAATTTATAAAAAATAATTATTGTAGTACAAAGATGAAGAGGCGAAGTGTCAGCTGTTTTACAACTTGACCCTAGTCTCATTTGATGAATGTTTGAAACGTTTTTTCTTGGCATGAGGTCTTCTCGAGTTATTCATCTGTTTTGTTCAGAGTGAGATACTATGTAGATTTAATATAATGGGAATCATGATTTTCAGCAAAGTCTAACTCAGGTTATGCAACATGCATTCAAGGCACCACCTTGAAAATCTCCAAGAATTCATTCGATTTTGATGAACTCCTTTGTGAGAGGTCCGTTCAAAGTGAGGTCCAGAAAACTGAAGTATCATGTGGTAATAGGAGGGGAAAAATTATGAATATTGGTCACCAAGTTACGGAAAGTTACTTCAGAACATTATTCGAAGTATGTTATGATGAAGAAGAAGGCACCACCTTGTACACTATGCATACAGTTAATGGAAAAGAAATTAAATGTAAGTATACGAAAATTCACTAGAGTCTAGCCATAGCACCAGTGCGAGAATATTGCGCCTGGTGCGCAGGTCGCTGGGCGCGAGAAATTGCAGCGAAGCGAAACAAAAATAAATAAGTCAATGTGAAATGATATTGCGCGTCGCTCGCTGCTCGCTGGGCGCGAGAAATTGCAGTGAAACAAAAACAAATAAGTCATTGTTGTGAAATGATACATTAGACAACTGCTTTCCTAGTTGATACCATGTTACAGGGTGATCCCTAGAATCGTGACACAGTGACACACCTCAAATCAATTTATTCAAATTGAATTAACACTGTACTGTTCCTAATTATTACATATATATATCCCCAGATAGCACGAATATTCTCAGAATATTCTTACAAGCTGCGAAAATTTCATCTTCTAGAATAATATTCTGAAGAATATGCATAGAAAGTTCTCAGTATGTTGCGAATATTTATGGAATTTTCCATGCGAATATTCTGATAGTATTACATGAAAGTACATTCCTAGAAGCTCCTGGGATATAATATTCCAGAATGTTCATTAAATAATATTTTCAGAATATTGTGAACATTCATGGAATACTTTGCGAATATACTGATGATATTCTGAAAATATGTTCCAATGAGCTTCTGAAATGGAATATTCTAGAATGACAATGTTCAAATATACTTATTTCAGAATATTCTAACATAATGTCCTTAAAATGATCATAAAATATTTTCATCCTGCAACGAATATTCTATGAACATTCAATTTGACATAGATACACAAGAATATTCTTTCCGAATAATCTGAGAATATACAGAATCGTATCAAATTATGAAATTGATGTTATATTATTCATGTATTGATATACAAAGTGTTCCCCTTACCAAACCCATTATTATAATGGTTGTATGCCACTAAGTGTTGAGATCGATTGCATTTTTAAAGTGTGAAACGCTAGACTTGGAGGTCAAACGATAAATGAGTACATATTCTGGAAACAGTTCGAATGGCAACCAACAAATCTCCTTCCCGTGATACATGATTCGCCGCCAATTAAGGGTATTGGGTATTCTTTTACCAATGATGATCTTTATTGTTTCGCTCCAATATTTGTCCCGCGCCGCACGGCCGCAACCCTTCTCGCCTCGCTTCTCGCGCTCGGCGAGCGAGCGAGCAAGCAACGAAATTTTCTGTTTCTCGCGCCCAGCGACCTGCGCACCAGGCGCAATATTCTCGCACTGGTGCTATGGCTAGACTCTAGTCGAAAATTCTAATCAAAATGCGTTACTTCGTTTGAATACGAAGTACAAGACATTAGAAATTTGATATGAGATATTCTTGATTATTGCATTATTCTGATACAAACGCCCCAGTCAACTTATGTATAGCCCTTGATGAGTACCTACTGTGATAACTGACTGCGTGAGACTATTGGAATTCACTATTCGTTTTCATCAATTAGGTAATTCATTATTACTACAATTATTGTTGTTGTTCTGATTATAAGCATGAATGTGCTAGTATACGTGTGACTGAATTAGTTGGTGTATATATTTATCATGTTTCTTTACAGTTTTATTGATATTTCAACGGCTCTCGAAACAAGTGTTACACACTTATCGAGCATTAGTTCATTCACATACATTTCTTATGTCTTATCTATGTTCTTTGTATATTATAATTATCAATATTACTATTATTATTAATATTATAGCCAGTAACACATTCAATCGATTCTTCGAACTGTAGGCAGAATTTGGTCCTGAGTTCCATATAACGTGAAACTCTTCTGACCATCATACAACATTTTCTTCCACATAATCTGCATCGAACTAGCTCAACATATACACCGTATGAATATGCGATAATCGGCAATGTGGATTTGGCTGAAAAAAGTAATGAACCTATCATAGTATGATAATTATTTACGTTTCCATTTCTTCACCTGATTCTCCTCCAGGTACCTACTTCAAGTTTAATATTTAGATTGATTGGTTCAGCAATTGATTCACGATCTGTCATCCAACGTGTCTGAAATATGTTCTTGTTGGACAGCTCGTCTTATGGACTTAATTCCTATTCTTTTTCTTCTATGCATTCACACAGGGATCTGCATTTAGTGATGAAAATAATATAAGGCAAATTTGAATGAATATACTTTTTCTCTATCATTCCCTCTGATTTTATGCAACTGAGTATCGAATGAATCCAATATATTGTTTTGGGCTGTTTCTTCATCAATGATCTCTTCTAGAACTACTTCTAGTTGATCTGGCACTTTTTTTCCATTCAAATTTTTCAACACCACCTCCATCTGATGAAACATCGAATTCGAACCAATCGATACAGTCATCTAAATGAATTAGCTTCAATGACTGTAGCAATACGTATCGGGAAAGTCAATATTTTCATCATGCTGAGCATAACCTTCCGCACTCAGTCAAGCTCTCCTTCTCTCCATTTTCTCAGATGCATTCAATTGATTTCGCAATATATGTCAAGAATCATTTTCTTCTTTATTGAGTTCACTTTTTCTAGAATTCGCAAATGACATTCGACTGAACTCTTCAGTCTCTAGAATCAAGACTTATCAGGGATTCTTCAAGATTCATTATATCAACGACTCGAGCCATTACTGCGAGTTCAGCAAATGGGTCATCATCATATTATATGGTGTATAGTTCCACCTTGTATTTCATTTTTCTTCCACCTTCGCATGCTTTCTCATGACTTGAGGTCACTCACGTCCCGTCGTCAGTTGATTTCCATCTTCAATTCCTAGTAGTTATTTTTTTTCCTACCTGTTTATGATTCATCAAATTCGTCAGAAGAGATATATTTCCACTTATATGATAATTTGCGTCGAAAGTTTTGGGTTCAAGCAGTCGAAATGACTTTCTAAAAATGAGCTGAACTTGAGTCAAAAAATGATGTTGTCGGGTTGAGGCTCACTCGGTGATTTGTTTTTCTATCAGAATACATCACACCCTATTCAACAGCGAACTCAGAGTCAGTTAATGACTAACAATATTGATATAATTGATACAATGGAGTGGTTGTCTAGTACCACCAATACTCGAATTTGTATTATTTAGACGATGTGTTCTACTTTTATATGAATACCTCACGAATATTCACTCATTCGAACATGGTTCAAACTTCCACTCACGGAGAGATCCATCGAAGATGTATGCATTAGAACCATACACATGGTGAGTCAAAAATATTTACCGAGCTTTCTGAAGGTGATAGTACATTTTTAAATAAGTATAGCTTGACGTGTGAACTGATGTATTTTGAGGGTAATTATTCTTCCACAGTTGACAAAAATTTAATAATTTTCCTGCATCACTTCTAGTCGGTGAAATCCACCAGATTGGTATTTCTTACAAAATACATTGTTTGTAATACACGTTCACATTCCTGATATCGTTATAAAGCGTGTTGTTATTGAATGGGTCATGATTTTCTGATGACAACTTCCTTCCTCATATTATTCCTGGTGAAAAAATTGAATCATTTGATACAGCAAGAAGAATTTTATGGAATTGGTACTCTTATCAAGATTTAAAAATTGTACCCGATTTCAAGCAATTTGACTTATTGTAGATATCAGCAGGATAATTTATCGATAACAATATTTCAGCAAGCCATGATCTATTCAGTTCTTGTTTTTGACGTTATTGATAATTTCTTCGTTTAGTTTTTTCGATTAGAATTATTGTTACTGCGGTTTATCACCAGTTATTCGATATTTCGAGATGATTCCTGCTCGACGCGTTCCAAATTCTATAACTTGAAAATTGTGCAAAGATTGCGTGAAAAATAATGGTTTTGAAATCAAAATCGAGATGATGTTCAGCCAAGAAGTTCGAGGCCTCCTAAAATGATATTACTGATGAATTTATCTGCTGATATCTTGTCACTACAAAAACACAAATATCTCGAAAGTGGGTACTGTTTTTGAATCTCGATAGGAGTACTGTTTTTATATATATACTTAAATTTTTTCACCAAGAAGAATACGAGGAAGTAAATCAAGTTGTCTGCAAAAAATCATGACCCACCTACTGAAAACACTTTTTGAAAAAATTTCAGAAATGTATTAGTGTATCAGAAGATTGTATTCCATCATCATACATCCATGCAGAAGATCTAGTGGGTGTTGCCGTTTAGGACTTATGCATAAAAAAATCCTCGAATTGATTGAATCGAACTAAATCTCGATATTTCGACTGATGTTCTGTTCTTTCGTTCGACAATGCCATTTTAGTATTGAGTATGAGATAGTTACTCTGAGTCTTCATTTAATTCTTTCACTTTTGAAGATGTTTCACATGGTTTATTGTATTATTCTTCTTCATTGTCACCTATAAAGTATTATTGGATTCAGATGATCAGGAAGATTCTCAAGTTATGATATTCGAAAATCAAGAGGTCAGTTCCGGAAAACCGAGAGTTGCTTTTATTTCCACATACAGTGTGACCCATTCAAGATGGAAGCACCCTTATAAAACTTAAATTTTTCAACCGATTGGAATGATTTTTTGTTTGTTAGGTAGATATTCAAAAAGTCTATTAGGACACCAAATATCATGAATAAATCTCCATTTACAGGACCAACTAATCTGATTTTTCAAGGTCAAAAATCTAAAAAAAAATTACTAGCGATTTTTTTAGAAAAAAACCTGACTAAACCACTGGATTTGTGACATTTTCAAATGGGTAACATGTAAATTACGTTGAAATGCGTCGATCAATAAAAAAGTTATAAAGGAATGAAATTTGAAAAATATGCCGTTTAATCAACCCACCAATTCATGTTCAGGAATTTCATGAAAATTCTGTATACTCCACTGGATTCAGGATGTCTTGAAATATTATTGATCACAGTTTCATCGAAATCTGTTCAGTAATAAAAATTGATGGGTTGATTAAACGGCATATTTTTCAAATTTCATTCCTTTATAACTTTTTTATTGATTGACGCATTTCAACGTAATTTACATGTTACCCATTCGAAAATGTCACAAATCCAGTGGTGTAGTCAGATTTTTTCTAAAAAAATCGCTAGTAATTTTTTTAGATTTTTGACCTTGAAAAATCAGATTAGTTGGCCCTGGAAATGGAGATTTATTCATGATATTTGGTGTCCTAATAGACTTTTTGAATATCTACCTAACAAAAAAAAATCATTCCTATTGGTTGAAAAATGTAAGTTTTATAAGGGTGCTTCCATCTTAAATGGGTCACACTGTATATGTCAAAATGTATCGTCTAGTGTGCATATGCATAAATTCCTGGAATATCGCTACAGGAACAAAGTAGAAATGGTGAGGGTGTATTCCATCGCTATTTCTCGAAGACTTCATGTTCAGAATCGAAAAAAAATGAATAATCATGCTGAAATGGTGTTTTGCTGTTATCCTCAGTAACTCTCAAAATACAATATTCAGAGCTCCGTTCACAAGTTGTCTGAAAAGACCAAAATGAAATAACTGTTGCAGGTGATGGCAGATCTATCACAATTCTACCCACACATAAGTCTAGTGGTTGAAACCTGTTAGTTGTCTATGAATCTGAAGAATTCAGTTATAAACTGTTTTGAAGCATTCTTGAAATCATTCACTCATCTCGCAAGAGAGTATCATCGAGTGAAATTCTCAGATGTATAACCATGAGTGCCCACAATACTATCAATGGTAATTCTGCCAGAAATCATCAAGAACCAGTTGCTTGGTAACACAACGTGTCCGCAGGACGGATGGTGTAACCTCGAAGCAATTTGATCGAGTTACATATTTCTGACAGAATTTCCGATATAGTACTGTGAGCACGAATTGTATTTATTCAGGCAATTTCACGACCCTTATATGTAACTGTTGATTGCATGTTTTGATTGGTTATCATATCGCAGGAGATTCGAGTTCCATTAACGTCGTGAAATTGTCAGCAGCGTCCTCATCAGATGACAATCATTGTAGATGATCAACTGACTGAAATAGATCAATATGAAAAATTTTGTAGATGCTTCGAAGACATCAGAACGTCCAACCTTCAGTACATCAGGCCTTGGTCCAAGAATTTCTGCCAATGTTGCCTACAAGAAAGCCTTCCAGAAATCAACATTCAACCGCTTGCTTGGATCTGCACAAGCAGCTGAACGATATATTACTTCAAAGTCCTTTCTTGCTCGAGGTCACCTATCTCCAGATGCGGACTTCCTTTTTGCCAGCTCCCAGTTCACTACTTATTACTATATCAATACGAGTCCGCAGTGGTAAGAAAAAAAATTTGATCACATGTCGAGGGTTCCAACAGATGCTTTTGAAATCCTATACAGTTATAGTTTGGCTCACGAAAGCAGACCTCTCTTCAGACCATATTGAATGACTTGAACTAGTTAATTTTCATTTCACAAATATCATTCAGAGAAGTGGAGAGCTCATAACGTAATCGAAATTTCAGGAATTCATTGATAAATGTCGCCAGACATCATCTAAAGTGGGAATATAATATTCAATGAAAAAACTCGTCGGTTTTCCCTTCTTTCTCAGCCCATCTTGAGAATACAATATAGCTACTTGCCCTTCTCTTTATATCATTGGACATTCTCAATGCTCACTATATGGGTACGACGCCCTCAATGTGGGGGGTAAAATGTTAGGTTATTTTTCACAAATTTTGATTTCAGTGGATTATTGAACACATATATCAAAGACATATACGTAACCGATACAAGATGCATTGGTTTGCAGAGCATGTCTTCATTTGAAATTCCTCCAAAAATTCGACTATAATTTTTTTTTTATTCTGCACTTCATCAACTCATATTCTGTAGCGGAACACCTTTATATCATTAAGTTTATTTTATTCATTCATCATGTAGGTAACATCAAAACATCGAATATTCGCATGAGATTAGGTTATACCCTGTATATGAGTTTATGTATTTTCATTCAACTATCATGGCAGGTTTGAAAGAAAGTTAGGTTCAGTTGCGATTTGATCTGTTGATAAATTCTTGAAATATGAACCTCTTCCTCGATTTATCATTGAAATGGAATCTGTAGAGACTACTTCGAACTATGTTTTGCATGAAGCCCTCAATAATTGACAAAGATTTATTTCAGGCAGGTTATAAATGGTGCCAATTGGGTCAGTTTAGAAAATGCTATCCGCAGAACTGCAGAGCATTACCAAGATACTTTCACGATTATAACAGGAACTTATGACATCTTGAAACTACCTGACGATGATGGAAACGAAATCTCAATATTTCTGGTTTCAAAAAACAAGTTACCGGTGCCAAAATTCATCTGGAAAATCATTTATCATGAAGACTCCCGGAAAGGAATAGCATTGGTGAGCCTTAATAATCCATTCATCAACAAGATCACCCAAGACTTGATTTTGTGTGAGGATATCTGTGAACAAAGTGGATGGGCATCAGATAAATGGATGAATACGACAAGAGGTTACGTTTATTGTTGTGACATCAATGAATTTACTAGGACTGTTAGGAGTGTGCCTCGAATAAATGTTTCAGGATTGTTGACTGGAATATTATCATGAGAGATTACCAATATATAACATACATGAAGTATACACATTGTTTTACTCATCGACTGTCAAACAACAAGTTTTGTAATTCAGACGGATCACTCTTTCTCAGACAGCCAGCTGACTCTATATCAGCTGACTACGGACTATCATATTCTTTTTTTTTAGGATTGCAATTGAAACTTTGATACGCGAACAAAAGAGTAGCAAGTACAATGATTGACAGTGTTCAATTTCAAATGTTAGTAGATACTAAATCAACCATTAATGAATAGTTTCGACACAGAAATATCCTAGAGAGGAAAAATCTCGATTTTGAACACCTTATATATCTCTGTAATAATTCCTGCTAGATCCCAAGTGTTTGGTATTGATGAAATCAGCTCTTCTGGGTCAATCTAAAAATGCAATGAAATGCAGGATGTTCCTATCAAAAATATCAACTAGTACCCTGTAGATTTTTTTTGTTTCGAGCACCTTGTAATTTCTGATGTAGTAGAAGGAATGAATCAAAACTTATCTCAAATGATTCTTTGAGTTTGGAGATTTGTTAAAGAATAACTGAGCTAGAGGAGGGGATATTTATCATGAATCACCCGGAGAGGATTTTTTCAACTTCTGGAGATCACAGACACTCAGGATTTCTTCAATTAGCAAAGATTTCTGGGGAATATCTCCGCCAGGAGTATCTATAAAAATTGGAATATCGCGGAATTCTCTTCCGTTTACCAATAATGTCAAAAACTTAGTGAGTGTAGCATCACCCACCAGACGGAGGGCTCTTTCCTGAGAGCTTCATCTGCGTATGTTTGGGTGCTGAGCTCAATATGTGACATCAGTATTCTGAAACAGTATCTTTGTTGAGTAGATCATAATATGCTGTTGAGGTGTGAAGTAGATATTAGTAACAGAATAGAAATCCGAGTTTTTGTGAAGCAGCTATCGCGATGGGTCTGACTTGATTCTTTCGTGATATAGCGGATGGAGAAATCGGGAAAAAATATATAGTGGACTTATCGGTGGAAATGATGGTAAGTACAAATAATTGATATATCAGATATACTGAAGCTTTAATATTCGAGTGAACCACTTGAATGAATCAATGTTATTGGTATCGGTACACTTGAAACAAATGACGCATCATCGAACATTTTACTTTCTTGACGATTCCAAGAGAATTTGCAACATGAGGATCTTCATATAGTGGGTTCAAATTCAATAAACCTCAGCGTTGAATCAGTTGGGATAGAATTCAATGTATGTAGCTCCCAGACGTTCATGATCCAGTTATGATCTGAAAAAGATGAATGATGGTTCAGACTGAATTCGTATATCATCTGTTTGAGCAGTACATCTCATAGAAAACACATTTTTTAATCTAGAAATGGGACACACCCAACTAGCTTTTTCGGTAACAGCCACTACTATAGCTCATTGCGAAGTAACTATTCCTAAACTATTACTTCTCAAAATTACTCACATGAGGTTTCGTAAATTTCAATATATAATTTCAGTTACTTTCAGGTCATTAAAGAAACTTCACTGTAATAATAATTTACTCTATGGTTACTAGTGACGTTTCTACGAATTATTCAGTTGATTCTTGGTAATATATAAGATACCGTATTCATATTTTCTTCTCGAACAATTTCCAGTAAATTAAAACAACGTTAAGGGCATTTTCTGATAGTCGCTATAATGAAGAGTATTAAAATGTACTTTCTGATTTATCTCCGATTGTTTGCCATATATGTTGATTGAATTCACGTGATTGTGTGAGTTCCAGCTATTATACCATACCGTAATATTTACTCGTGATTTGTTAGTCATTTTATCCTCGGATTTATAATTCCTACGTAGTTCAGTTCCTCATCTAAAATGGGATGCAGATATAAATTATATCTGTTATAAGATTTATTTATTTATTTATTTATTCTCATATGAATACATTTACAAAGACATACATATTCTAATATTATAAAAATTCTAAATTTTATCTACTTCACATAGGTTATTGACCTGTGTGTGAATTAGATAATTATTATAAACTTTTTGTAAAAAATTTTCAAGTTCTTAAAAATATTCAGATTAAATATTGATTATAAATTCAATATATACAAAGCACACAAACAAAAACAAAAAAAAAAAAAAAATTATTTGAAGAGATTATCAATTTCTTTTGCATTATCCAAAAACCAAATTTTAATTTTTTTTTTGAATGTTACAATATTCAAACGTCTCAATTTTGATGGAACTCTGTTAAAAATTTTTGACCCAATAAAACTACTATGGTTTTGCATGATTTTGAGATTATGTTTTTCAAGTTGAACATTATCATTTCTTGTACAATAATTGTGACTAATTTTATTACTAAATGCAGTGTTTTTTTTCAAGAAATTCAATGATGCTTTATAAAATAATTGTTTGACATTCAGTATATGATTATCTACAAATAATGAGGATGATGGATAATCCAAAGGTTTGCGAAAAATTATTTTCAAAACATATTTTTGAATACTTAATAATGGTTTGAGATGAGTCTCATACATACCACCCCATCCAATGATTCCATATGACAGAATAGATTGAAAAAGTACATGATATAACATTATGATTAAATTTCTATTAACAATATTTCGTAAAAATCTGAATTTTGGAAGAGTACTTCTGAGCTTCTTAGTAAGTTCTGAAACGTGATGATTCCACTTCAAATGTTGATCAATATAAATTCCAAGATATTTAATAAAAGCAACTTTATTTATTTTGTGGGTACATGAACAATTCATTTTTGATTCTTTGGATATATTTTTGAAACAGTTTATATCATGAATTGTCAACTCTGTTATATTGTTTGGTTGTGAGTCTTCATAACAGGAGAAAGTCATGAATTTTGTTTTATTCAAATTTAAAGTTAATAAGTCAAAATCTAGATTATTTTTAACTATTGCTATAGCTTTTTCAGCATTCATGATTGATTCTGACCAAGTGCGACACATCAACTGAAAATTTGAATTCTTGAGGTAAATATTGAGTCCTCACTATCTAAAAATTCTATATCTCGCACTTGTAGATAGCCACTTACGCTATGGAATAGCTTTGTTGGGGTGGAGTCTTCAGAAGACAACTTCATCCACTTGAAATGTTACAAAATAGATTTCTGGAATTCATTTTATCGAAACCTAAACGCTTTTCAACAAAATAACTGATTTATGAGAATAATATCCTTGATATTCATCTACTCTTTTATCATAACATCATCCTAACTATACCTACAAAGAAAAAGAGTTATATCTTACCGACTCACAGTTCAAATACTCGAAAAAAAGATCACCACGTCATTCCACTAACCCAAAATCACTCATACAACATACGTATACGTACCTAGCTCCAAAAATGTTCAACACTGTACCTAATACAATTAGAAGTAGCGATATATATTCCACATTTCCAAAAACACACTCAAAACATTCATATTCAGTCAGGCAAGACAGACAATCGCTGATTTCGTCGATAAAAAATATGTTTGATCAGCTCGAGCAGTGGAAAAGATATGGCTACCACATCACATTTTCTATTATAATTATGTTATGTAGTTATTATTCCAGGATCAACTTTTATTATTCGACTATGAGATATACTTTCAATTATATATAAGTCAAATATGTTTTTGTATGTACATTTGTTCGTGTCATTTTACATGAAGTGCGTAGGTGTGCATAGTTCATTGATAGCTTTTTCAGATTTTTAATATATTGATTATAACTCTATATATTGATTGGTTCATAGACTTTACGTCTCTAAGCGAGTGTTGCACACATATTGAATATGAAAATTCATTTGTGTACTTGTACTGTTTGAAAAGATGTACAGGGTGGGCCAAATTGGAAACTTTCAAAGAGAAAGTCCTATTTCCAAACTAGATGGACGAAAACTGATGTCGGTGTCTGATGGTCAATTTTTATGACAAACTTGATAGTGAAAACCGCACATCGATATCTATCATCGTTTCTGAGTTACAGCATGTTTTCCGAAAATGTACATTTTCGAAAACTTGCTGTAACTTTTTTTCTGTCGAAAATTTATTGTTTCTATAAAAACATTCCCAGTACACTTTTTCACGTAGGATTCAATGGTATGAGTAATTTATTTCCTCAAAGTACATATCAATAGTTAATACCTAACGGAAAAATATTTTTTCCATATGGGCTACCCCGTATATTTCTGCATATTTCAATGGAGCTTGGAATTACCATTCCAGAAATATAGCACACTCGGTATTCTACTGAAGTCATCTTCAAAATGCAGAGCTTTTATGGTTTTAACATGTAAACTTTGAAACGCACATCATGAACAAGTATAGGCTTTGGACGACGCGGTGATAAAACAAATTATGATCAAAGTAATATTAGAGCAGTTATGACGCTCCTAAATTCGTGGTTTCCGTTCAATTCACAAACACATTTTCGATGGAGTTTGAAAATTATGAAAAATGGGATATGATAGTCTGTTTTATACAAACCGGGGAAAATGCAGAAGCAGCAAGCGATTTGTACCAGGGAGAACACAACCATTTAGAGATATTCATGCGAGATTGCGACGCAACCTAATAATTGATGATGGTCAATTCGAGAAGAAAAGGCCAAAAGTATATGAACCAAATAGGGATAGGGATTTGGAAGAAATAGTTGTTCTAGGAGCTGTTGAAAAAAATCCCAGAACTTTAACACGGAATTTGGAAATAACAATAGGCCTGAATTCAAAGTAGGCCTACTCAAAGAAAGCAGAAATTCAAGCCATACAGGACCAGAAAAGTTCATCACCTAAAACCAGAAGATTTTGAACGCTGCATGAATTTCTGCCAATGGTTTCTAGAGAAATGTAACCGAGTACGTGATTTTCCGTTAAATTGTATTTGGCAGACGAAGCTTATGTGAGCAGTGCCGGTATATTTTCAACTGCTAAAAATCGTATACTTGGGCACAACAGATTCATCATTCTATTGTGGAGCAGAGAATACAAGAAAGATTTTGATTAAGTGTATGGGCAGGTGTTTTTGAGAGTAGAATAATCGGCCCGTGTATTCATAATAACACTCTCACCTCTCAGAGGTATTTGAAAATTTTAGGGAATCCCTTCTTGACGAATTGCCGCTAATGGAGCTCAGGGAAATATATTTTCAGCAAGACGGGGCTCCCCCTCACAACACTGCAATCGTCCACAATTTTTTAGCAGCGAATTTTGGCAATGATTGAATAGCCATCCAAGGTCCCAACCGTTGGCCGGCCAGATCACCGGACCTAACGCTTATGGACTTTCAC